AGCGTTTGAGTACAGAGTTTGATTCAATGCAGTGACAAACAGTATTCAGCTTGTTGGACTCTGTCCCCAGCTCTCATTGCCAGGCCTGGACCAGATCTGAAAGGCAGCAAACTTCAACACCATTTTTATAAATGCAAATTGCAATCTTCAGGAACCAACCTCACATTGGCTGCATGGGCAACAAATAGGAGGAGCTGGAAGCAATCGTGCAGCATGACAGCTATGACTTAGTCGTCATCACAGAAACATGGTGGGATGACTCTCATGACTAGAGTGCTGCACTGGATGGCTAGAAGCTCTTCAGAAGGGATAGGCAAGGAAGGAGAGGCAGTGGGGTAGCTCTGTATGTTAGGGAATGTTTCAATTGTATAGAGCTCAACAATTGTGATGATAAGGTTGAGCGCTTATGGGTAAGGATGAGGGGGAAGGCCAACAAGGCAGATATCCTGCTCGGAGTCTGTTACAGACCACCCAACCAGGATGAAGAGGTAGATGAAGCATTCTATAAGTGGCTGGCAGAAGTCTCACAATCGCTAGCTCTTGTTCTTGTGGGGGACTTCGACTTGCTGGACATCTGATGGAAATACAACAAAGCAGAGAGGAAACAGTCTAGGATGTTCCTGGAGTGTGTGGAAGGTAACTTCCTGATGCAGCTGTTTACAAATAGAGAAGGACTCATGAGAGATGTTGTGGCTGGTGGCCATCTTGGGCTTAGCGCACATGATATGATAGAGTTCTCAATTCTTGGCGAAACAAGGAGTGGGGCCAGCAAAACCACTACCATGGTCTTCCAGAGGGCAGACATTGGCCTGTTCAGGACACTGGTTGGGAAAGTCCCTTGGGAGACAGTCCTGAAGGGCAAAGGGGTCCAGGAAGTCTGGGCCTTCCTCAAGAAGGAGGTCTTAAAGGCGCAGGAGCAGGCTGTCCCCATGTGTCGTAAGATGAACTGGCAGGGAAGACGACCGGCCTGGCTGAACAGGGAGCTTTTGCTGGGACTCAGGGAAAAAAGGAGAGTTTACCACTTTTGGAAGAAGGGGCAGGCAACTCAGGAGGAGTATAGGGATCTTGTTATGTCCTGCAGAGAGAGAATTAGAAAGGCAAAAGCCCAGCTAGAACTCAATCTGGCCACTGTTATAAGAGATAATAAAAAATGATTTTACAAATACATTAACAACAAAAAGAGACCAAGGAGAATCTCCATCCTTTACTGGATGCAGTGGGGGGGAAACATTGACACCAAGGATGAGGAAAAGGCTGAGGTACTTAATGCCACCTTTGTCTCAGTCTTTAATAGCCAGACCAGTTATGCCCACAGTATTCAACCCCCTGAGCTGGAAGACAGGGACAGAGAGCAGAATGAAGTCCCCATAATCCAGGAGGAAGCAGTTAATGACCTGCTACACGACTTGGACACTCACAAGTCTATGGGGCCGGATGGGATCCACCCAAGAGTACTGAGGGAGCTGGTGGAGGAGCTTGCCAAGCCCCTCTCCATCATCTATCAGCAGTCCTGGTTAACAGGGGAGGTCCCTGATGACTGGAGGCTTGCCAATGTGACGCCCATCTACAGGAAGGGCTGGAAGGAGGATCTGGGGAACTACAGGCCTGTCAGCCTGACCTCGGTGCTGGGGAAGATCATGGAGCGGTTC